CAACTGTGTTTCGTGACGTCAACTTCAGTCATGCTGCTTTCATTCCCGCTTATGTCTGCCCATGATGCTCCAGGTATGCCAACAATCCAGTCAGAATGAGTCATCCTTTTGACTTGTTGACTCTGCAGCTGTCTTGAGCCAAGCTAATTTTCAAACCAAAGCAGCTACGAAAATCCTGCCCTCATAAATGTTGTATATTTCCCCAAGCGCTTTTTCAGCATTTCAAGCTCGGCCCCCAGTGCCATTCCGATTGTTTGCGCCCCTCGACTTGTCTCTTACATGTAATGGACATTACTGAAAGCAGTGTTCCATTCCAACCAGGAGAACGGTCCGGCTAGCAAAAAGAGAAAGTGCGCAGTAAGCCCTAAACTAAATCGCTGGAAGCTTACCGTTGATACAAGATTTTTTCATGACCCCCCGAAGTATTCTATACCTCGGGTGAGCGATGACTGTCGAACCTACGAAAATCCTGTAGGATGTTTCGTAAGCTTCTCCATTCAAGCCTAGATCATTAGACGCGTCCTGCGGATCTCATGAAGCGCGGATATCCCACGCCTGCTCCAGAGTTGGAAGGCCGGGCTCAAGGGTTTGGGCTCAAAACACTCATCTGAGCTATAGTCTAATCTCNNTAAAGGGGCTTAAATAGGGGACTATTAAAATCGCTCATGTATGGGCCAATTTGCTTCAATTATCTTGGGAACTAGGGGGTGCGAGACAAGGATCCACGGTTGAGAGTCGAGGAGTTTTCACAAAACAAAGTTTCTAGAAATTGGCGTCTGCGGATGCAGGGCTAGCATCTAGGGTTTAGGATTCAGGGATAGGGTTCAGGGTAGCTGACTTCATAAATAAGCCAAACAGACAGGAGGCTGCTTCTTGGATGTGAAAGGGAAGTGGGGCGGAGCGGATGCCTCTAGTATGACCTGTGTTCATTTCACCACTCTACCTTCCGTGCCACCCGGAGGTTTTGTAATTTGTTTTGTGTTTGATTTTTTGTGCAAAGTTGCTTGGTACTGTCTAGCATACAACTGCAAGCCCCAAAGCCCTGAGCGCAAAACTCTAAACCCCGGCATGGTTATGCTTGAAGGGTTCAATTGACGG